AGTGCATTTTATTTAACCTTGAACGTAAATTAATTAAAAGTAAGTGCAGTGTCTAGTTATCGGTTGAGTTGTCTAGAGGAATCCAGGTACAGGACCCCAACTAGGTGGTATTTGGAGAGGGTGGAGTGTGGGTGGTGGATACGGAGGACATAATTTGCGGAATTAGTGTCATTTGGGGATGTGGCGGGTAAAACGCCACTGGACCGCCCAAAATGGTCGGAATGGTGAAATAGTGGGAAAAAGGCAAGCCACTGGTAGATTACAGTTTGCTGGCTGTTGCCTTTAACCTACCTGCCAGTTAAGATTATTTACATGTTGAGATAGTTTGAGGGGATTTTGTTTGTGCCAATTTATCTCAGCTACTTGAATTTCACTAGCAAGTGGCTCACAAGATATGGAGCACACATGTCGCATATGCAATTGCTGCATGGTTGGTGATATGCCGACTGTCTGCAGGGTTTTAGTGGTGACAGCGTTTAGTGAAACATTTAAAATAGCTGTGTTTTTATTGTGATTAGGAGCACCCGTATAGATTCCACGAGAAGTTTTGCTGCCAGTGTAATTTGCAACAAGGCTGTTCCGCAGTCTTAGAAGTTCACAGCTTTTATTAGAGGAGGTTTTCAGTTTCTTACCATAGCTTATATGCACCTGGTTGATGAAAGACAAAGAGGGAGTAGAAATAGTCGTTTGAGCAATGGAACTTTCTTTCATGATGGGGGATGTGTTGCGCAGTAATGCTGGACTAATGCAACAGTGAATGGAATCAAAAGCCTTATTTTCATGAGGGTTGTTATATGATTTTAACCTTAGAGCTGATTCATCTATGGTCAGAGTGTCGTCTAGCTCAACCAGTGTTGTAATTGTGGGACGCCTCTTGATAAGATTGCGTAGATGCCTGATAAGGTTGTCACTAGCACGGTTGGAGCACGCCTAGGATAAAGGCTTGTAACGCTGGCCAATCGAAAGGAGTTGCGCTACCCTGATGGCGTTAGCTTAGCCGGTGAGACGGAAATTGAGCGAGTGTGAGAACGATCCTAGCCGCACGTGTTCGGATAGACGCTGAGCCCTCGGAACGTACGCACACGAGAAGGGGTCACGATAGACGCGCGCTAAGGTCTTAGACGCGAATGCTGGCCAGCTAACGACTTACACGAAATCACGTGACCCGACCGACTCCCAAGTAAGGCGAAGAGGAAAGAAAGAGAGTCGGTCCTCTGTAGGCTCTTTTACGACCAACAAAGGCCGATCACAGCCAATGCTATGGTTGATTGAGCTAGGGAAGTCACCACGAAGAGGTGGTAGTTTGCAAATGACCATTGTGAAAAGGTGCGCGGTTGGGCCGCGTCTCGGAGTGGCTGAGCGCTACTGCGTTGTGGGGAGGAATTGAACCTCGCTTTCCACAGCCATTCTGCCGGAGTTTCTGGCGCGTTTTTGCGGGAATATTTGACGTGCCCGCAACAAGCAGGAAGCGAAGTTCCTGAGTTTCCGTGGATATCGGAACAAAATGGTGACAGTCTGTTTGTCGGAAATAGGCTATTTTACGCTCCCTTTATAGTATTGGTAAATCTGATTTCAGGACCATGGATAATGGATAATACGCTCCTAGTACAAATGAAATTTTCAGGAAGTGTGGTTTGAAATTTTAAAAAGCACTGGACAGACCCGCGTCTGAGATTTCTTTCGCAGCCTCAGGTAAGGAAACTTCATTCGTTCGATATGACAACCGTTGGTTACTGCTGAGGAGTTAGTCTCAAGTGGTGACTTTTCTTGTAAATGGAATGCTATAACATATTTGGAGCATTTAATGCTATCATGTACCTCCATTGCAACATGTTGTATAAAATTCTTAACGGATCGAAAGTGTTACAGTTTTGGTGTATCTGGAGTGTTAAAAAGATACTTAAGTGAGTTAACTTGCTCTAGGACTTGGTAAAGATATTCAACATTTTCCTTCATTCCTTCAGCTGTAGTTCAAGCGCATCAATCGTTTGAATAACTTTAGAGGGCAATTCTGTTGTAACTGCGCTGTGCTCTATCTGAAGAACCTTAGGAGAACTATCATTTGATTGCTATTTTTACTCCTACGCGCGATTTCGGCTTTTTATTCATATTAGATATTGAGTCTTTAATTTTTTCCGTGCTGTCGGACTGGTTAATAGCAGGATGTTTTGTCAACGTTTCAGTGTATCCTGTCTCTTCATTGAGTTTGTTGTTTTAACTGAGTTAACGAGCATTTTTACAGATTGGTCTCTCGGTTTTAGGGCTTGTAAAAACTATTTTATGTGAACATGGGTAAGAAATTAAGGGACAAATTTCACCGTTTCCGTTACGGTGATCAAGAAGAATCAAACAGTTATCGGCAAACCGCCGAAGAAACAGACTAGGGCTTATACGACCTATCTAAAGTGCAGGAGAATCACAATGGTACAAATAAGCTCCGGTTTCAGATGCAAAGATCGATACAAACCTGCTGGTTGTAAGAGTGCTCAGTTGTCTAAATCCCGCCAAGATTAGATGGTCCTTCAGTAATCGACCGCTCCGTGCACAGGTAGCCCAGAAGTCAACTCCGTGGCGGGACGCGTCAGGTTATGCCGCAAGTTCCAACAGGCGCACACGCACATATCCGGCCAAATAAAGAGATTTGCGTGCGCTAGATGGAACTCGATTCACGACGCAGCGTGGGAGTTCTTAGCTAACCAATGCGGTGTACGAAGATATAATTGCTTCTAGTTGCCTTATGCAGCTACCGAGAGGGTTGGTTTAAGTCTCTTGAAGTAGACCTAGCAATAAGCTTTCCGGTAACTCCAAAAACCTTGATGAAGGTAGAAAAGTAGGGCATCTTACTTACCAAACGCTGCGCTGACGAGATCAGATATTCAATTCACTAAACTCGTAGCGGTTGACGACATGTAGCTACGTCGGTCGCTCACCAGGGCGACTTGGCTCAGGCACGAGTCACCCGTATATTACAATAAAATGCAATTATCCTTCATTTATTGAAAACCCTCGAGAGCAACATTAGTTTATGATAAGATCAACTTGATAATGTCCTGCTGACGTAGATTCAGTATTCACCTGCACCGTTTCCCTGTACTGGTTTGAATATACAATAGCCGGTTAGGTATTATCGACGGATCAATACGGCTGAACTCTTCAAGCCATGTCATGTGCCGCAGCAGAAGTATGCAGTGCACTGCACATATACCACTACGAAGGAGCATTTCGGTATCTACAAATCACTATGTCCGTTGCGCAGATTCCGTCGTAGTCAATGCTGATGAAACCGCTGAAGATACCTGGCATCTTTCTTTTACTTCGTCCAGGTTTTGTTTGCAAATGGGATGGCAGTTCACACTAGCTACTCCTATATCACCATGTGCATACCGACTGTATGCTGATTTTCGTGCCACACATATTTTTCCAGGTCTTTAAATGCAATGGTTACCTTCAATAGGTGGATGCCTAACTCGATCATCAAGATGTCGGTAAAGAAGCCCCATGTATACGTGAGCTTTCTAGCAAGGCGTTGTGTGAAATGCAACCAGTTTCCAATGAATGCTGTGAACTAGGGGTGAGGTTTGACAAAATTTATTTTAACGCATTGTGAAGTAGACAACCCGTGTTCAGTCTGCGCATTTTACAAAACACCTCTTTACATTTTGCTTACAATGAAATAAGCTTCTTTAATATCATATATAAACCAATCCAGAACTTTAAATGTTGGTTATACGAAACCCTAATTTGTACAATAATTGGTATGATATATGTCATGCGGCGAGTCACAACGCACGCATAAGATTCATGATTCTTTAGCGGCTTACAATTATTACGAAAGCTGTAGATTTCGCTTTCATCCTCATAAGTTGGACTGAAAAAACTGGGAAAATGTAAACCCAGGGCGCATTTCGTATTCCTTTTTATAAGTTCTTAAGTTTATGCCGTTTCACAACAAACAATCGAGAAAAGCACCAACGTGCTTTGATACATGAAAAGGTTTTGTTTAGTTTGATCAAACTTGTCTAAAATTGATCATTATCAATCTAGGTTGCTTGTAGAACAGGAGGTAAAAATTCAAATTCCTTCTTCCTGGTGCCACATTTAACAACTCACCTAGTACGAGATGTGAGTTCTGAAGTAACATCTTTATTGAAATAAGGAGCATAATTTCACGCGGGACATGGAGCACATAAAACGTATTGGCTGAAATAAGCCCTAGATTTCATAAAATAATAAATATATGTGTCCAATCGGAATTGATGTAGCTAAACTTACCCATTCTCTGGACACCATCAAGCTCATTACGCATGCCTCCCGTTCCTCAATTGCCAAACACATGTGCACGTAATTCAAGGCGTTTGTGCTTTGTCATTAACTAGACTTCGCAATTTTGCTCAACGAAAATCGCACCTCCACAATTAACTGTAATACAGTAAGTCTCGGATATATTGTTTTTCATTGATCAATGATTGTTAGTTAACCAATTATTTGGATACATTACGGAGTTAAAATGTGAAACCATGTTCTCACGTTCGTTGTAGATATAACGGTCTAGTTTTTCGGTAATTGAAAATCAGTGATGCCAAAAATAAAATGTGTAGCACAGTTTATATCGTTTCATGTACATAGCTTGATTACGAAAGTGAACCGTATTGTTCCCACAGCCGCAAAATGCGTTGATCAGCCATCACCCTCATAAAAATTTTGGTTGCAATCTTAATGTCACATAAGGTAGAATAAACATATGCAAAAGGTTCAAAAACACACATGATGCCGCCCGACTTATCACATACTGGGCGGGGTTCATGTATCGATCAAACTTCAGCATGGCTAAGCCACGGTAATACGAATAAAACGACATGCTATGCGAAGCAATGTCATTAGATGACCGATCTTATTTAAACGTTATCTTCCTTCTTTACAGATACATGAACACTCACCTTGTTTGCCTAAATCCTGTAAGCCCATAATGCTTCCTACAGACAAAGGCTCTCAGTTTCTCCATGTGCAATACGAAGCTTCCCTCTGTGGTCAACTGCTTGGTTCCAAGGAAGATAAAGAAGTTGCATTCTTCTTCAATTCGTTTTGGAACAGCATACATACGCAGTGCCCTGTCATCCAGCATAAAAATACAATGTATGCGTTTCGCAAAGGTTAGCCATCAGTAAATATTTAAGCTTCTTGCGTATTTAGGATTTTGCGTGTAAAATCAGATGTCTGATTATTGAAAAGAATCTTGTGTAGTTGTTACAGTTTTCGACTTCGGCGCCAGCATGTTATGGCTAAACTGCATCAAATTGTTTAAGTACTTTCATTACGGACTACTTGACTTATGAAGATAATTTCTTTCATCATATGTGACTTTCATTGTTGATGGCATCGCGTGAGCGGTGAGATACTCCATAGTTCAGGAAACATAGTCATTGGTGGGAAAGTTTGAGAAAAGTATTGCTCGTTCTCTTGCACCTAACCCAATCAGGGAAGAACTTGAAGGGGATGCGTGTTACCTGCTCTAATGACGATAATGAATTCCAAACGGGTCAATTCGTTTATGCTGTTGTTTAGCTTGTCACAGAGCCGAGGCAAATTTGAATGCCTGGGTACTTGGTAATCCAACTGCCATTGACATCGGTGGTTTATTTATGGCCTATCGACTTAAATGCCTCAAATTTACGTGATCAAAATGTACGCCGATAATATACTTGTATGACATACATTCCTAACCTGACATAATATTCCCTTCTCTTTGCGGTGCCACATGAAGGATATTTCAGTGAGTCAATTTCCTAATTCACAAAGTATATTCCGTGGCTTCTATTATTTTTTCTTGGTTGAAAATAACCGCGTTAAACACAAATACCGACTTTTAATTCAATTTAATAATCTACCATTGTGAATAATAATATTTATTTCAAACTTTGAAGCGTATTTATGGATATCTTGGAACGTGCCCTGCATGAATGTATGTTTGGCTTTATCTATCATTTTAGAAATGAACGGCCATTAGATTATGGAATGTATAGGTGTTAGATGGGTGCAAAACTCTCCATAATCCACAGCATCATTCCTGATTTCCCCATAGCCAGTCTGCATATAAAAGTAGGGTTATTCTAGGAATGTTCAGGCTAATTATTCTCTTTGCACGTATAATCCACATGCGAGTACGTTAAATTTTTTGCAGTGGGGTGAGCAAGCACTTTATTATTGGCTAATGGCATTATCCATACCAAACCTTTAACCCGTTTTGCATGGTATTACCTCAGTCCTACAATCCTCTATATATGCCAATATACCTAGGCGTATTATATCCAGTCCACTTACATGCACACACCTTTGCAATTTCTTCCATTACGAACTCACGGGACTTGATAGATCTGTGCATGCTTGCGTTTGTTCGCCGAACTAACTAGTTCGTTGCAGACGCTAATCTGAATACAATGCTTGAAACATTGCCTACAGGTTACACTGTAAAAATTGTAATAGCCACTACGTGGGCCAAACAAGGAAGAAGTTATCTACAAAGTTACATGAACATAAGCGAGCATATCGAATCTATTATTCGTCCTCATTGATTTCGACAGACGTTGTCGAAGAAGGGCACCTGATTGATTGCGCGAAGACAGAGTTCTAACGCAGTGAGAGACAAAAATAGAAAGATCATTTATTGAAGCATAGTTTTCTACGGAGAACTCGATATATCTGCGCACGCAGGTCGACCCGATCTACTACCAACTGCAAATAAGTACTTAATGCAGATCATTCACCACATGAGTCTATAGGAGGAGGCGATCGAAATGCAAACTAGCAATGGTCACGGGACTTGAATCGAAGTGGCCAAGTTCAAACATCGGTCAATTATTGATTAGTACGCACTAACGAATTCACCTCGATTAATGATGAAACGTCTGCAAATAAATAGTTTAGCTCGGAGAACAAAGCTAAACCAGAACAGACAACCCGAACTACATGTATTCGGCTTTATGGATAATGCTATTCTGCATACCATAAGCCACCGGTCTGGTGTTTATTTGTTCCATTATAAAACTTCTATTCACGTGACTATTCAAAATGATGCCCCACAGCCATCCTGCAATGGAAAGCTGATATATTTCATGAATTGTATACCTGACTGGTATGGTATCAAACCTCAGGGTAATTTGCCATTATGTATCAAATCAAATAACCTGTGACGTAAGCCGTTTCCACATACAGGTGCGGGAAATTGTGCTGTTCACAATGATCGGTACTAATTTGACCACTTAAGAGAACAATTGTGGAGCGTAGCTTTAAAATAAGACGGCCATAGTAATACAATCCTGTTGCCTATGAATATAATGGAAATTCAAACGGGCGACTATAGTTGTTTACCCTAAAAAACGTTACATTGAAAAGTGAACCAGTTGGGGGGCGTTGAGTGGTATAGATACAAATTCGACACATTTAGACTCACTCTGACAATCCTCACAAGCCCGGACAAGCACTGTATGCGCCTCTCATCCTTTCGGAAATCGTCAGCAGTGCGCATTCGTTCAGACACTGGTAGGGCTCCATCCCGCAAATCGACTCTTGCCAGTCCGTGTTTGAGACCACTGTGCAACTGGGGGCGGCAAGGACCATCGTGAATAACTTATCATTCAACTCCCCTACTACTCCTATGTAATCAATACGCAGAACAAACCGCTTATAATGCCATAAGTTAATTGGCGGCTTAATTTTGGTAAGTTGTTCGCTTGGTGAGCGGCTACCCTGTCCTCTGCACTGCAGTAACCTGTAAGTCAGTGGATAGTGAGCGGCGCTATATCACATCTAGTAAATAATTCACGATGGTCGTTGCCGTCACCCGTAGCTCAGTGGTCTCAAACACGGACTGGAAACAGCTTACTTGCGCATTCGAGCCCTACCAAGGGTCCGATGGAATGCGCACTGCTGACGATCCCAGAAAGGATGAAACGCGCGTACAATGCTCTACCGGACGTGTGACGACTGTCTGAGTGAGTCTAGATGTGACGAATTTCTACCTGTTAAAATTTTGTATAGAGTTATTGAACAATGACACAAAATGTACAAAATCTTCCAGTGTGAAGCCTAGTTCACTTGATCCGCAAGCATATGTAAAAGGTTTGCATTTACGGAGTCGCTCACACCTCTAGCTTGATAGCCACAGGATTCACGCAACTGTCGCTGCTATAACTTCTATTACATCAGCAGTGTGTTTGTTACTTTTGCATCCTTCGTATCACTTGAGAAATTGTGAAATTGTCAGCACTACTGACGCGTGAAATGCATTTTGCCGATATGGTTATAGTGCAACCCAGCGTAAACGGCAAATTTTGCAACCAAATTTTGTCGTTAAAAATAATGAATTAAAAGCAATCATCACCCCCTTAAACCAATGTGGTTTTCAGTTAGCAGAAAGGCAATGCAACAGAACGAGATTAAGGCACGGGGCTCGTAATTTTACCTGTGTGACGAGCAGATAGAATAAAATTAAAATCAATATGGGCACAAATCAAAACATGATACACTTGCACATGTCGGCAAATACTTGGTAGATATAGGTTGGGTAATTTTGACTAGAGTATTTGAAATAGGCTCCACATGGAAATTATTTCGGTCAAACAAATTCACCTTAGAGCAGCCAATTATCAACCAAGCAGTGTACAATCCGAGACGCATGGACTTGCAATCAACTGCCGGTTCGCCCGCCGCTGTGTAACTACTAGCCTCGTCAAATGCATCCGTCCCGCCTCCTGATTGCGCATACGCATCGAATATGCAGTGTCGAAAGATATAGATAACTAGATCATCCAAATCTGTTTAGCATTTCGGAGTAGGTGCTGTCCATCGAACGCACGATTTCAGCTCTATCAATCCAGTTTCCAACCAATTGTTCAACGTTCTCCATTGTTTACCATATCAGTTGTCTATTTGCCTGTGGGTTGAAAGGTAGTATATTCCATTTGTCTCAGTAAGCTGCACAGTCAATTTGTAGGAAGTTACGTTCATCATTTACACTATAGAATTCCTTTGGCTATTTCATGCATAAATTAATTATATAAATCATGTACTTACTAACCACAGCCGCACTGGTCTCTGGTCCATCACACGTGGATGTTTGCCAAATGGTAAGATCGCAACACATAATATTACAACAAATGTTAAACATATGTTATTTATATAATTTCCGTTATATTACATTTAATAAAAAACTCAATTTAAATTAACTTGTTTGCAAAAGACTACTTATAGCAAAATTTCCTGGACTGCATTGTTACCATTTGTCGCCTTGACTATCAAAACATGCTCATATATAAACAATTGTTATGTCAGCGGCCCCTTTCTGGCTACCTGTTGTTTCCAAAAGCTTATGGTGATTTTAGAAGAATATGATGCAACTACAGAATTGTCTCATCAAAGCTTGTGAGGAATATTAGCATAATAATGTTTTGACGATTTTTAACAAGAGGTTAGTTAATCTGTGATTATAATTCGAAGGCGAAGAATCAAAAACAATACAGCGTCCACTTATGCGAGGAAGTTCACAAGGTAAACGTAACATCAGCTGCCAAAAGTCCACGGATATTCCGCATGCGTCCAAATGAGCAAATCTACCTTTCTGACGTTCCATGGTACATGAATGAACACAGCAAATTTGTAAACTCCTTGAACGGCCGCAGCTCAAGATGCAAATTCAACGGATACATTCAGTTGGATGAAGGTATGTTTCTGGAAGCTTTAGCTAAATTCGTTTATGGATGCTGTCTGCCATTAATTTTGTTTCCCGAGTATTAATTGTCTGGAAGCCCGGTCTCAAAATGGTAACCGTATGACCATATTCATATCAGGTTTAGCAGTCGGATGACATTCACAGATTTGTGGGTTTATTGCAAGCGGATAATTTTAAAATGCATGGATTGGCAGAGTGCACAAGTTACTGGTCCATCACAGACTATCATCGAAAGGTGAAAGTTAAGAAACTAGTTCGTTTAAGGAATATGCCCGTTCCTTTGTAAACGATCATTTGAGAAACTCATACATTTCTTTGGACGACTTTATTTATTATTTGTCTATCATTTTGCATGAATTGCACGACTACACTAGATGACAGATAATAATGAATTACAACAAAGCAAGAAGACGGGACTTCAAAATAGGTAGATGTTCAAAACCTCATTAACACGGACTGTTAACTGTCTAGCAGCGAGTTCGAGCCCCAATGGGTTCAGATGGCATGCGACATGCTGACCTTCCCCATAAGGAGGAAAAAGGCATACAGTTCTTTTCCAGGCATGCGAAGGCTCTCTGACTGTGTTTGAGTGCAAGGAACTTCTACTTGATTTTGAATATTACGATAAAATAATGACGTAAGTAGCAGGTGATAATTCGAATGCTTGGACGACACAGTTAACATTTAATCTATCTTACAAAATGCTGGGCATAATGTACAAAATTTGACAAAAACCCGATTGCTAGCTCTAGTGAAACTCATAATTTCCAATTTCATTGAAAAGAGTAGCTAAACCGATGTTCTTAATTCAGTGCCCTAACATTGTCTATGTTTCGAAATTCTATCTAGTAGAACCAAATATGTACACTATTGCCTTAATTTACTACATTATAGGTGATTTTATTCCTGGGGTACCTTGCCACACATCACGACCCCACTTCAACTAGCATCAATATCGCATGCTACGATGGTCTTCTAGACTACTCAAAACCTCCCATCTCCGTGCTCCAGTGATCCTACATTTACTCAAGGATAACAGTCGAATTGTTAACAAAGTACATCTTAAGTGTGAATAATTGAAATGACATATACTTGCAGCCTTTTGTCATCTCTTTTTTCAAAATTTGTAACAACGATGATTTTGTGCGTGGAATGCGTTTATTTGTATTAACCATTTCTATACACTAAGCCAAACATTTTTTGCACCGCTGCTTTGTGGTCCATTGCGCATAGGGATGTATTTTCAGTAAGAACATTTAGAGTAATTTTGCGGTAACATATAAACAGCCAGCAATGAGCCTTGTAAATATGAGCCTGTTTGAAGTACAGCAATTAGCTCTGATCAAGAAAAGGACTTGTGTTTGAACAACCGGAATCACTATCCGGAAGACAATAAAAAGTTAAGCTTGGAAGCGGGATGATGGGTGTATAAGTGTGGACAACCAATGGGAAGATGGGTTATGCAATGGTTGTGCAAGGTGCTTCAAGGTATTTTGTTGTTCAGCAAGATAAAAATGGCTCACGATGTCCTAAATAGGTACACATCGTGCCCTACTCAGAGACTGCACTTTGGCATCCAATCTTGCATTGAGAATAGGAACTGGAACAGGGATATATCTAAACTGAAAACAACCAAAGCTTATAGAAGTTCCAGCGGATGGTTAAGACACAATTATCAAATTATGGAAATGCGAATCAAGGAAGTTGGGTATAGTATAGCAATCTCATCGATAGCCCGTATACCTGGTCGGAATTTGATAACACTGAATGCTTGTGGCATGTAACCACCAGACAATCATAGATTATTTGAAGTTCCTTTAAGTTTATTGAAATGATAGCGGGAAGAAAGGAGATCCCGAGTCTGCCCCATCACTTAACATTCAGAGCAGGGATAACACAGATAAGTGTTACGTTTTTCCTTGAAGGGATTAGCACCATCCCGGCGGAAACAACACGATCCCTGACACAAATTAAAAAGTCCAACTGTCTTTTGAAAAGTTCCTCTCCCCTTGCACTACTGACTGGCTCGTACAAACTAGAACGGTCCATCACCACACGCATGAACAACAGGAAACCGGAACGGACTCGTAGGTTCCTCGGCCAAAACACGTTCCATTGGTGATCCAGTGTAGAACTAAAACACTGAGCTGAAATAACTACTTCAGTCCACACCCCAACTTTCTTATCATAAAGGGTTTGGTGTATGTCACCTCACCACGGTTATCATGGTCATCCATGGAGAACAAATTCGTTGTTCGAAGTCACTGGGTGGAAGGCAAATTCCGGATCTCAGGGATGTATTTGCTTCCTTACCGTTAGACCTAAGTTCGGTCACTATAAGAATATAAACCGCGACTAAACCTTATTCTAGCGTAGGGTTGGCGTGAGGAGTGAAAAGGAGTCTGCAATGTTCTAGACACTTACCAGTAACAGGTTTCCTTATTGCAATTTCATCTTGTAAACGTCCTCAATTTATTCTAGGTTGTACGAAAATTGGGGGACACAAGTACGTCAGGGTCCTTCTCACGTGCAGCAAGCCTTAGCAGGTAACACAATGTGTTAGGCACAAACATATACCGAGCATCGATGGGGAGAGCAGAGCACATTCGTAGGTGATGCTCAATTGCCACTTAAACAACCAGCTGTGCAGCGGGTATAAGTTCGCATGCAATTGATCAACATCATCGAGATTAAAATCTCCACCCATAACTTTAAGTCGTCAGCAAATAGCAAGCAATCTGTTCTGAGTTCTGATGGCAAATCCTTGATGAATATTTTAAACAACTCTGGAAAATAGATGAAGCCTGGCGAACTTTGCTAGTGATGAGAACGAGCTCGGTGCAGGTTTTTTTACCTTCAGTCACATACTATGGCCATCCAAAAATTGGCAATTTAAGAGAGAATCATTACAGAAACCATTATTCCCAGAAATTTATGACATAGTCATTGGTACTGGACTTAATCAAAAGCCTTTGAAGTCGACATAGACTACAGGCGAATGCTGGCATTTATCTCTGTCCACATATAGTTATACGAGCGTGCACCACTGAAGCCATGCTGAGTTGTAGAGATGACATACAGGATTGTCACAATAACATTGCGAATTATGGATGTTCAAAAATTAGCTGACAGTTTTCAGAGTACTGACGATTATCACCTTCGGATAGGGGCTTAACGATGTCTACGTCCCAAGCAATAGGAAGACGTCCTGCATCCTAAGATCGCGGAAAACGGGTGCAAATTGATGCAGCGGTTTACTTAGCCACTGTTTGGGAAACAAAGTGTGTAGCCTATCAGGCCCCGTTGTGAAGTAAAAATTTATCCAGAGGATCAGTTTCGCGACTGAAAATGTGCTGAATTTAAAGTGCACTAGACTGACGAGTAACATTGTTGCAGTAATACTGGTCAACTTTTCTTTACCATACACGATAGCGAAATACTTGTAGACCGAATTCTCAGAATTGCTTCATCTGCATGTAGCATAGTGTATCTTTCCAGTAACACAGAAAAGGTACCGCAGTGCCAGCTTTGCAGTACGCTTCAGATAAGAAAATTATAGCTTCGGGGTTTCGATTGATGCAAATGCCAGGTGGAGTTCATAATACCGTCGTTTTGTGCTCCTTTAAAGTGTAGATCTTCCTGACTTGAGTAATTTAACGCTGGTCATGTAGCGTGCTCGATCCATGGGAAAATCTAATATAGAAGCAATCTAAGAAGAGCATTTGAAAAAATGTCTAATCTTTGTAAGTCAAAGGACCTGACTAATGAGTGACATATGATTGGCGTACAAAGGTCTCTAGGCATTCTAATGTTCTAAGTGCTGAGTTATACTCCGATTCATAGTGTCAGCAGTAGTTTTCAAATCAGGTTTACCGAATAGCCAGAAGTTCAGACGTTACTCCCCTAGGTAATGCATGGCAAGTGGTTGCAACCAGCGAAAGGAAACAAAACGGTGATCGCTTCTAATCAGCGGCTAGATACTAGCCCAGTCACAAACATCCGGGTGTGCCAATGGGAGCAAATGGTCAAGGATTTGTGACAACTGGCCCGCACACAATCCGATGAGCGCTGTAACATAATAAAATATGTGACATTGCAGAACGGTCTCAAAGAACATAGCGTCCAAAGAGGCCAGGGAAATATCAAAATATAGTAAATTCTGAGTAACACCAGTAGCATTAAAGCCTCCCATAGTCAGACAGTCCTTGCTACTGGAATGTATCTTGATATTTTCTAGCGAGCAGCTTCAGATACCCAAAGGGCTCTGTAGACAACATCAAATATAAGAGACCCGCAAGCGTGGTGGATCCGGCAACAAAGGCGCTCAAACTCGCTATCAGTGTCACAGATGACTTTCAGTATGTGATTTCTGAGATCAACTTTCCAGTAGAGATTCTAATCACCACCTGAGGTTAGACTAAGACGATTCGTCTGAGTTAGATGATAGACTAACTCATACACCTCAGTCATGGATGATCATGGATAAACAGGCCTTTGTGAAGCTCATTAGGTCCGGGAGACCATCAGAGGCAAAGGGCTGAATCTTGCGAAGTTTGTCAAGCATGCTGCACAAATTAGCAAATAGAACTCGCAATCCATTCCTTACACTAGTTGCCCGGGGGCCACATTGATTGGCCTTAAGCCAAATATTGGTGCGAACATTCACTATGTGCAAGTTACTTTCACCTTACTCTTCGTATGCCTGTAGCGCGTCAATAGCCATCCTCAATCGGATGTGGTCCTCGAGGAAAATGACACAAAATATGTAGAACCTTTCTTCTTCTAAGACTTTGAGTCTGTCTCAAGACGCGGTGACCTGCAACCCTGTTTTGGCAGACGACCTTAAAATAAAGAACATTAGAAACATCTTCTAACTTCCTGCGACAAAGAAACTAAGGGATTACATTGATTCCTAGTTCATTTTTATCGAAAAGTAGAGTGACCATACACTTTAGGAACTCCTAGTCATACTGCACCCCTTCGGCCGTAATATAATTGTTGGACCCAGGAGTTTTCTTACCACAAAACACCGATCAATAAAAGGTGGTACAGTGCTCAAAGATGGCTGAGCTTGAGTTGAAGCAAACTTTCTTTCAAAGCTTTTTCCTGCTGAAAATCTCCCTCACAAAGACCGGATTTAGATTGGAACATGATGACTTGATTCCCGGGTTAGCACTGCCCTTGCTTTTACTCCATCGCAGAGTTGCCCTCGTGCTAAAAGTTGTTGGCGCTACGCAGTGAGACATTTTTCCGTTTAATACGGATGAGCCCCAGTTTGATTGTAAACAAGCTGTTCAAAACACGCTTATTGCAGAGTGCAATTGGCAAATTAACAATGAAAACGAGGTGCGTCGATGGAATTCCTTTAATTTTAGAGCTATATCACAGCGGTCGACGTGTCTCCGCGCGTCCCAAAGAAGGCATTGAACAGGCATATCTTTAATGCAATCCTAGCACTAGGTAACTGTGGTAAAGACAGGTCAGCAATCCAATGTTCTGTTTTATATTTTTAGATGCTTTGTCTCAAGGGAACGAAACGCACATATAAAGCCCCGATATTCTTATTTGCCCTACATCGTAGAATTCGAATGCAGCAAGATGGTTACCGTTTCATGGACGCCACGCCGGAATAACATATTCCACTTGGGGTTGCATGTGTACTGAGGGGTCAAAATGATCACACTTTCAGTGCAAAGAGCTGAAACGACTCTGGCACACTTTCGGCGCACTTCAGATAGTTAACTAAGCTTACATCGTCCTACACTATTATTTAGGTCTTGCAACTAAAGGACGCTTTACAATTAGTAGATAACTATTTGATATACGTTCTCTGGCTAAATGTTTACCTGAATCGTTTTACATCTAGTCGCATTTACCTGGTTCATTTTCTTCGTTGGGAATTTGTAAACAAATATAAATCTACTTGGAGGAAATCGTGATTGCAATTGTTAATAACCTTTCGCTACATCATACAAAGATGCGTGAAAATCAGAATATCCCAGATGTGGACGACGTAACTCCGTTATTGAACAGGAGGAAGAAGGGTGCTTACAGCACGAAATTCCTATGAAATGCGGCATCCCACTTTGATCCAGTGTTAAGTTATCCTTAAAAGCTATTATTACTTTCGCTGGTGAAATATGTTTCCAATCTACACAAAACCCGAGTTCTAATTTCCAAAGCTCTTGTCTAGGAAAGCGGG